TAAAGGTTTTAGAGGTGAAGAAGAAGCCTGAGATGAATTCAATTATGGCAAAAAATTGCTACTTTTAGGTATGAATTGTTATTGAACAATGAAATCAGGACTCAAATGCAAGGTTTGTAGAGGCTTAATCTAATTAAGATGGTAATCCAACTAATGACCTGTTGGTTAGAGAGGCAGGAGTTCGAATCCCTTTAAGCAAGATGTCAAGTTTGATTCTTGTGAATAGAGAAACAAGTACTAAGAAAGCTTCCCATTTTATAGGATCCAACGCGACTCAACTCTAGATTAGTTAGGGCTCAATGTGACTTTCAAATACCAAGGGTTAATACCAAAAAAAAAAATGGCAATCCAACCTCTTTTCCAAATTCACATCTAGTGGAGGTTCCCTTTATGCTTGACCTTGCTAACACAATAGTAAGGAAATCAGAGAGAAGAAAAGAATAAATTGAAAAGTTAGAGATGAGAGGGCTTTTAGGGTGGTGGCGTACCATTTATGTGTGGCTTTTGTTCAATGGGAAGACTGCCTTGACTTGCCTGTTGGTTAGTTTTATGGTGTTAAGGATGACTATCACTAGGTTGGTAACTATTAATTATTGGAAATCCTTGCTCTCCCCTGCAACTTAGCATTATAGATGAAGATGTTTAGTAACTTTGGATGCCCAAAGTGGTGCTCTTAGTACTTCATAGATCTGTAATGCCTTTACAACGATTGCAATGCAAACTCTAAGTAGGCTGCCTTCACTTAATTATTTCACATCTATTAATTTTCATCCATGGTAAGTGCCATAGGCTAAGTTTTTGCTATGGTTTTGAGTGTGTTGGTGTATGGATTACATGCAATCTCTTTTATTTCTTAGTGAAATCTCTATTACCTATAAAAAGAAAAAAAAAAAAAAGAAGAAAGAAAGAAAGATATAAATCAAACCCAAGTTGAAGGCTTGGATTCTGTTTGCATAAGTAACTTCCAAATTTCAATGAGGCAAGGGCAAGGTTGGACAAATGGTTGATTAATTGAATAGGTAACAGAAAATTGATTGAAAATTAAGTAAATGATGGGATATATCAGTTTTTGGCTACTATTTTTAGTTTTGGTTGTAACTAAATGTCACACCTCAACACTAAGAGCAAAACAAACGCCGTACACTTGTGAGAGTATCTCACAAATGCACAAGACTTGGATATTACTTAATTCATATCAAGCAATCCACTAACTAAGATCCAAATCTTGAAAAAAAAATTGGCTTAATAACCAAGGTTTAACTAGGCCAAAAGTGTACAAAAATTTAATACAACTCAATGTCCAAAAATAATTTAACTAGGGGCCTAACTCCAAAATAATCCAAGTCCAAAATACAAATGGTGGATGAGAAAAACTATATGACATAATTCAGTAAGTAAAAATATGAATGGCCCTTAATTAAAGTTATAGCATGCCAACAAATGTA